TGAACAACTAATTTTTGACCGCACCCAAATTCGATACTATTTTAGTGTAAATACTTCTTTTAGGTCTAATCTTAATATTTTAAAACTTTTATCTTGCCCTTAATAGGTTTTATTTTACAAAAAACTAATATTAAAAATAAAATAAAAAACTACCGCAAAATACTCACATTCTTAGAGTATAAATTTTATTTCTATTTTTTTTAAAAATAAAGAAAAGGAAATTCATTGATATATATATATATATATATATTACGTTTTTAATAAAATAAGCTATGGTATTTTAGTTAGTATAATTTAACTATAGTGTAAATATTTAGTTTTCTTATGTATATGATATTTACGTCTCAAAGTAGTTGGCTATATTTTTAGCTATTTAATTTACTCTCTTTTATTTATTTCTTATATATATAAGAAGTCAATAACAAAAAGAACAAAAAATCTATAAAAAAAAATAGAAAAGAAGAAGAAGATTTCTCCAAAAACTACCTAAACATTCACGTTCCCAACCCCCAAATTCTCATCTTTTCCCAACTCCCACTTCACGTCTCTCACGTTTCACCTCATTGCGCACACGCACACATGATCATCTGCACACACATATCTATATATAATACACACATATTCACATAAAGAGGGGGGAAAGCCAATATTTTGAGAAGAGATAGTTGAAACATAAACGAAGGGGGCAAAAAGAAACAGTTTTTGAAGTCTGCCGAGAGTTGGTTCTTTTAGAGTTTGGATACCAATTTTCTTGGATCTTCTTTCTCAAAACCTTAAAGGTTTAGACTTTTACAAAATAAAAAACATACAAAATATTAGAGGTGCTTTTCCTTTACTTTTATCTTTCAAAAAACGACAATACACAGCAAAGAAATGGAGCTCAGTTGAGGTACTCAGACCCAAACTGTCACTCTTTTGCCGTTCGAAGTTCCGGTTGTGGTTCTCTGTTGAAGTTCCAGTATTGTTTCTGCTGTAGCTGATTTTTGTATTTTGCTGGATTAATTTTCAAGAAATTTTCGCCTAAAGGTCTGTTTCTTCAATTAGTTTTAATTTTTGAATGCTTGAGTTATTTACTCTTCATAACTATGTGTGATTGAATGTATAATTTTAGTTTAGTTTAGTTTAACTGATTCTCTGTCATCTTTGTGTTAGTGTTAAAGTTTTTTTTTCATGTCTTTCTCGTTGACGCTTATCCTTAATTTAAAATAAAGTATCAGCTATTAAGTTTAGTCATTTATTTAGTTTAGATCTTTGAAATTTGAGTAGTTTTATGTCTCTTTGTGAACATATTTCTTTATATGTATAACCTTAAAGATCTTTTGAATTCACTGTCTTACTTAGCTTAACCAGGAATATAAGTCTTAAAATTAATTTGTGTAATACCATATCCGTAATTTTCCTCTTTTATTTAGTAAAATAAATCTTTTGATGTATAATGGATGGATATGAAGAGAGTAGGACCATATGAGGTTTAGCTTGGATCTAAAAATGAAGATTCACTAATCTAATTCATTCTAATATTGAGTAGGTTTTGAATTTAATTATATTTCTAGTTCCTACGAAAGTAGTCTAGTATAATCACAAGAAGCCATATCATGCTTTTGGAGGAATATTTCTTTCATTAACATTCTGTTTGTTTAGGTTTAAATATATTTACTTTAAACATGAATTTTTGAGCTATATTTGTATCTTTACTTGCTGAATTTTCTTTATAGTTAAGTATGAACTTACAGGGAGGTAGATATTTATTGGATTTTTCATCGTACAAGGCAATTAATCACTTAGTTGACTTGGATAACTCCAGCCTCAAAAGTTCAAGTTAGCCACGACATTTGGTTGGCAACAAGTTTTAATTGTTAGGACAAATTACGTTATAATTGGTTTTATAAGTGTTGATAGCCTGTAAATCCTAATAGTTAAATCACACATTTCCTCCATAACAATTTTATATCCATAAATCATGACCACACCACAATCTCAAATTAGTTTAGGAAAATAACTATAACTACATTAGAAAAGTTTAGATGCTCCTTAAATATTAGCCCATGTGTTCATACCCGATCCTTGGATTGATATGCTTAAGTAATAAATGGATCATGTGCGCATTCCCGCATCTTGATACCTTTAAATTTAAAATAATTATGTTTTAACCATGTGTATATTGCGTACCTTGGTTTAATATCCAACTTCAAAGAAATACCTTGTGTGCATATCGCATTTGTGTCCGAACAATTAAAAAAATACAATAATTAATTAAGCGGTAATAAATAAGCCATAATCAATAAAATACAAGAATAACTAAAAATAGATTTAAGCCTTACATTAGTCAATAAAGCGACCGTGCTAGAACCACGGGACTCGAAGGGTGCCTTACACCTTTCCCTCGGTCAATAGAATTCCTTACTCAGTCTTCTGCTTTCGTAGACCATAAATTAGGAGTCAAATCTTCCTTTTGATAAGGGATTCAATAAAAGGTGACTTGGAAAATCAAAACTCAATTCCAAGTGGTGACTCTAAATAATAAATAATCCCTTTTCAAAATGTCACTTCAATTGGAAAAACTCTTCTAACTCAACCTCATAATAAGGTTGTGTGGGAAAAAAGAGGTGTGACAGCAAATGGCCGACCGCTCAATAAAAAGATCGGTGGGAATTATGGATGATGTTCTTGTGAAAATGGGGAAGTTCCTTCTCTCTGCCGACTTTTTTATCCTTGACTGTGCTGTTGATAAAGAAATCCCTGTCATCTTGGGGAGACCATTCCTTGCTACCGAAAGAGCACTCATGGATACGGAACAAAATGAGATCAAGTTCCGAGTTACTGACGAAGAGGTTACTTTTCAAGCTAGTAAAGGCATGAAATTTCCACATGCATACAATAATATATCAGTCATTGAGATTGTTGATGAGGTAGAGGACGCAGTCGAGATGAAGATGGAAGAAGAATGCCTTGGTGAGGCATTGGCGGCTATTTTGGTATACTTTGATGGTAAAGATATGGAAGGATACATGGAATCGGTGAATGCATTCCTACACTTATGCACCAAAGAAACTTTCTCTTGACTTAGAGAATAGAGTCACTCCTCCCGCTAAGCCTTCAATTATAGAGCCGCCACAACTTGAGCTCAAGCCACTTCCACCGTACTTAAGGTATAAATTTCTTGGCTCTAATGACACTCTACGTGTAATCATTTCTTCTTTGTTGAATGATGTGCAGGTTGAACAAGTGTTGAATATCTTGAAGGAGCACAGACAGGCCAGTGGGTGGACATAGCGGACATTTGAGGGATTCTCGCTTGAATTTGTGAGCACAATATACAATTGGAGCAAAAAAGCAAACCCGGCATGGAGCATCAAAGAAGGTTAAACACTTCCATGCAAGAGGTGGTGAAGAAAGAAATCAATAAATGGTTGGATGTCGGGGTTGTTTATCCAATTGCCAATAGTCCATGGGTGAGCCTGGTGCAATGTGTGCCAAAGAAAGGGGGCATGACCGTCATTCAGAACGACAAAAATGAGCTCATCCCAACGCGGACAGTGACCAAGTGGAGAGTTTGCATGGACTAACGGAAGCTCAATAGTGCTACTTGCAAGGACCATTTCTCTATGCCTTTTATTAATCAAATGCTTGATCAGCTAGTGGGAAGGTCATTTTATGCTTCTTGGATGGTTATCTGGCTACAACCAAATCAACATCGCCTTAGAAAATCAAGAGAAGACAACATTCACATGCTCGTATGAAACTTTTGCTTTTAGCCGGATGCCATTTGGGCTATGCAATGCTCTGGATAGTTTTCAACGATAATGATGTCAATCTTCTCTGACATGGTGGAGGAATTTTTAGAGGTGTTCATGGATAATTTTTCTATGGTTGGTAATTCCTTTGAGCATTGCCTTGACAACCTTAGGCAAGTACTCAAAAGATGTGAGGAAACAAATAGCTCATCTTTTCCCCCATTTGGGCAATAAGCGTCCAACATTTAATTCCATTTTTGAAATCAGCCCCTCCCCCGCTCTCCCCCTTTACCTTTCACTCTGTCTAAAACAGTGCCAGAAAGATTTGCACTAATCCTATTCACTAATATTATTAACAAGTGCAATACAGTTTGAACAGAACTACTTGCACTTTATTTTTTTGGGTGCAGAACTACTTGCAGTTCGAACAACACTAGCATAACATATTTGCTCTAAAACACTAACCCCCACCCCCGCCAAAAAAAAAAATATTAAGTGAACGAATTTTCTATTCAAACTATTTGGGACTATAGAGTCAAATAGTAAATTTAAACACTAAATTTAAGACAAATAACATATATTGTGAAATTATATAACTTGACTCTAGAGTCGAATAGTATTGTGAATGTTTCACGATAATCTTCATCATTTATTTAAGAATCGGAAAATGCTGGTCGGATTTTCTTCACTTATAGTGTTGCATTATTTTGAAAAATAATGAGTAAGATGCAAAGTGTTTTGATTAGGAAGGAGGAAATTCGGTGTCAACATAAATAAGAAACACAACCGTGTTTTTAATCCAAGAAAAATTAGAGAAGAAAATGTTTTTACAGATCTGCTGAAATTCTTATGTGTGTGAGAGAGAGCTTTTAAGCTATTTTTAGTTGATTTGGGTGTTTGACAGAGGGAAAAAAAGTGCTTAATTTAAGTCAAAAGGTTGAAAATGGCTTTTTAGCTTAAAGTCATTTTGCTTTGACCTATAATTTTCCCTTTTTATCCCATAAATTTTCCTAAATCCTACAATACCCCTTACTAACAAAATCCTAGACCTTTTCTTTTCTTCCTCCTCCCATCTCTGCAATATTTCTTTTCCTCTCTTCCTTTCCTCCATCTCTACATCCTTGTCTGCTATTTCTTTTCCTCTCTTCCTTTCCTCCATCTCTATATCCTTGTCTTTCTACTTGCGATTTCAACTCGGTGAAGTCCACAGAGTTGCTGAATAATACAAAAATATCGAAATGGGTATTTCAGGAAGAAGCTTTAATGCATAATTAAGTTCCACAGGTGAATAGATAACCCACCTTTAATAAAAATATCTCTTGTAATGAATGTAGATTTTCTCATATGTTTTTCACCTATAGAAGGTTTTCATAATAATGTTGGCATGGTGAAACATTTGTCACGCCACCAACTAGTGCAATGTTATGTATGAAATCCTACTTCCTGGAAAAGTTATCAACACCCGAAAGAATTGAAGGACCACTGGAGGATTACACCATAGACTCACAGAAAGATCTTCAACCAAGATGTCATAATACTATCACCGGAGGAAAAGCCCTGACTCTATCAACCATGGAAATTATCAGTAATCATTAAATTTTTGGAAAGAGAATAGCACACCAATATTTCAAACAAAAGATTCTTCAGTTATGGAAGTCAGCCGAGGATTTTTCGTTGATTGGTCTTGGTGAGGATTTCTACATAGTTGAATTCCTAAACGAAGAAAATATGAGCCGAGCCTCACACAATGGGCCTTGTTTTATTGATGGGTTTTTTCTGTAACTTTGTAGCAACAGTACCTGCTCTTTGTCGATAAACATATCTGCTATCTATACCCTTTGAACAGGTTATATATTACTCGCACCCCTTGAACCAGTTATGCATCAATCGCTGTCAAAACTCAATGGTTATAGCTTTGGCCGGTGATGCAGCAGAATCTTTGAAGCCAACCTTCTCACGAGAAAACCTGAGATGGTCGAACTCCAATGTCTGCAACTAATCTTGTATTGCCTTCTTCATTCTGAAGCCTATACCTAATCTGGTGCATAGACATTGCTAAACTTGCTCAAAAAGAAAAAACACCAACCTATTTGCAGCGTCCAATCAGGAACTTACTTGGTCAAAGAATCCGCCAGAACATTTATGTCAGTTAACAAGAGTTCATGCCACAGCATCAGCCTGTCTTCTTCTTAATCGAGCATACAAGCCATCCTTGAGGAGAAGCTCTTTGTGGCCACCCATCTGAATGTAGCAAAAGTAAGATCAGAGGTTGATCATCCAAATCAGAGTTACTAGAGTGATTAGAGCCAGGAGACATGCGATATGACCAAAACTTAATTGAGAGAGGCGGGCAGCTCTTAGCTATGAACAGAATGAGAACCTCCAGATTGCAACATTCCACTCCAGATTGCAACATTCCATGCTTAAGTTTCCAACTTGTTAGATGCTAAATGGACAACTATAGACTAATATCTCTTTATTTACAAGTACACAAACTTTGGCGTCGCAAAACCAGCCCAGAGTGGACCACTGTCATGATGGTAAATTCACTAGTCTTAATGCAGTGCTGCTATGTTAGAGCTGCCTGACAGACTGAATCACACAACATAGAAGCGAAGATCGCAACAAGAAAGGAGACTGAGTAACGACTCTGATAAGTTAAAAGCCAATTGTACCTCAACAACTTTTCCACTTTCCATCACAACTATTCTGTCAGCAGCTTGGATTGTCGAAAGCCTGTGAGTAGCAGTTTGTCAATATTACATACTAGTACATGGTTCTGTTGAAAGAACAAAGGCAGTTTTACCTGTGTGCAATTACTATGACAGTTCTCTTTGAGTTCTGTTCTCTTCTGACAGAACGAAGCACGCCCTATGGGAATTGGAAATGCATATTTAGCGGGCAATTCAACAATCTCTATCAGTTAAACAACTTTTATAAAACATACCTTAACGTTGTGTTCACTCTCTGCATCTAGAGCACTAGTGGCTTCATCAAGCAATAAGATATCTGGATCCCTAAGAATGGCTCTAGCAATTGCGATTCGCTGCTTCTGGCCTCCACTGAGCAAATCATCATCAACAACTGTGTGGTAGCCATTGGGTAGAGATGAAATGAAGTCATGGGCAGCAGCCTCCTTAGCAGCCCATTCTACGTCTTGTTGATTGACATCTCTACTACAGCCATATCTTATGTTTGAGCTGATATCCATGCGGAAAAGTCTAGGCTCCTGTTCAAGATATCTTGGTAATATGATATTATAAAACCATACTAAACTCAAATTGGGAAAATAATAATTAATAAGGCCAACCTGTCCCACATATCCAATTCTTTCCCTCAACCACTTGATGTCCAAATCTCTAAGTGGGTAGCCATCAATAGATATCTACAGATCCAAAACAAGCAAATTGGAAGAAAAAGATGTTCTTTTTTGTGAGAAAGAAAGGTGGAACAAAAGGTAACTGTTTTTCTCAAGGCCTCTTAAAGTGAGATTTAAGCTTGTACAATTTCCTCAAGAAGCGCATGTTCTATATTTTCATAATTCAACAGTATAATATTTTAACATTGAACAAGACAAGAATTACCTGCCCACTTATTGGCTCATAAAGGCGAAGGAGCAGGTTCACCAGAGTACTTTTCCCACTACCGCTTAGACCAACCTATACAGATGACATTCATTTCAGAGTCATTGTTACGAATTGATGAATAGAGAAATAAAAATATACACAAATATATATATATATCCAAAAAAAAAGAGATGGATAATATACCATACATTTAGTTTTCATGCAAGTCACATAGTCACAGATCAGCAGAGATGTGATCAGGCAAAAGCCATAAGCATACCTATATTATATTAATGCACAAATATGTAGCATATATACAGATATGGTTACACTCACTTATATGTACACACTCACTTGACAAAGAGAGAGAGAGAGAGAGAGAGAGAGAGAGAGAGAGGGAGGGAGGGAGAGAGGGAGGGGGGTGGGGGGGGATCAGGAGGGATCTACACTTACGCCACACATCTACGTACTTTTTATCTGTACACTATCTTACACATTATATGCATAAATTGACTCATGAAGCCGTGTGTAAGGCCCTATAGACTTTGAACAGTAATTACGACAGTTACGAGCCTAATGATGTGATCAAAGTATCACAAATGTGTTAGTGATGCCTCACGATGTAGGTAATACGCTTGGAACATTATACTGGATGATTGGTATGATTTGGAAAGGTATAAGGTTAATAAATAGCAAGAAAGTGTCAAATGAAATTTGGAAACCTAGAATAGGCTACAGTGGTGTCTCACGGTAAGCTCGAGGCGCGAGTCAATCATGTGGAACCATCACAAGCTTAAAAATGCCATCAATACAGTTAGCCTTACCACAAGTGAATCGCGAGAATCAGACCTCAGCCATCCAAAGGATCACGCCGCGAGGAAAAAAACAACTGGCAGGGCAAAGGAGCTCGTGGCTGCGAGAAGCTCCTTTCTATAAATACACCGTGAATTGGGGAAAGAGAAAAAGAAGGGAGAAAGGGGTTAGGGTTGTGAGCTCCAAAGGTCGTACCCAGCCAAGGGGTACCATCTAAGGCGGTGATTTCGAGCATTTTGAGTCAGTTATGCTCACTAAATGCTAGTCCCAACATCCATTAATCCTTCATCTCACTAGATTTCAATATCTTCAACAATCTCCCAAGTATGGAACTTAAGGAATTTGACTACAAGAGGCAACCCCATTACCCAAACTCCATATACGATGTATAGATGAGTATGTAGAAGGTGATTATGAGAAGAATTCATGGTTTGATTTAAGTATTAGTTGAACCCCAGAAGTGGATGTCGATGGATACGGTTAGGATAATTGGGGAAGATGATGAAGAGTAATTGGGAATTTTAATTGGGTGTAATGACCTAAATGGCTTTGATAGCCAAATAAATATATGTGATTAGATTGATGAAGTTAAATTTTTGCCATCAAGGAAGAATTAAGGTTTTGGCTGTCTTGAATCCGATACCCAAGACCCAAATTGGTCAAGTTAGTTTATAATGGATATGAATTGATGAAAATGAGTTGTAATATTATATGTCTCACTTCACTTAACGTGTCGGAGCGTTGTTTGAATTGTTAAGGCAAGAGATTGAGGTAAATGGAAACCTAACCTTCCTTGAAGCGTTCACCTCAAAAAATGAACGGTTCAGTGATTAGAAATGTGATTTTGAATGTGAATACATGTTCGCAGGGGCAAACGAGCCTGCATTCTCCAAGTTTTAATGCAAATTATGCAAAGAAATGCTATATTTTAATACGAAACGGTATAAAATCTATCATTCTATGTTTTATGACTTATGTTTTGAAGGTATGAAAGAACTGAAGTTTATCTCATGATTTAGGCTTTAACGAACGAATGTATTGACATGATAATTGTCTTTATGCAAATTATAATTTTCTTATGCAAATTATAATTTTCTTATGCATCACATGATTTGTCTGAAAGACTAGACTATGATTCAAATGTGAAGCTTATGATATGTTCAAAAGTTTATGATATGTTTTCATGTTTTAAATGATACAAAGGGACAATGAGTGCAAAAATTAAGAAATACAAAGAGATAAAAGGGGCCATAGTTTCAAAATGAAAATATTTGAAGTAACCTTAGATAGCTGAGAATTGAGAGTATATTCGCTTTCCGTTGACCAACTTCATTATAGGAGAAGAATCAGAGAATCAAATCTTTAATTAATAGCTTGATTGTAGGATAGCTTGATTATAAGAAGATTGTATTGTAACTGTGTATACGGTAGAATCGAAGGGCCCGATATCACGTAATCAAGGTACCTCGGAAGATCATCGCGAAGGCTACGAGGCTACGGTCGAGTTTTTTCCTTCCTCGAGGTTCGTCGACGTTCGACCTCGAGATAATGTTGATCCCGACTATGGTAGAAATGGGGAGTTCCCAAGGCATGCGACTAGGGCTGACAAAGTCTAGTGGGCTATTTTGAACCCAAATCAGGGTGTCATTCAGCTGTCTCATCCCCATATCTATGTAATTAATGTATTTTGTACTATGCTGGGACTTCCCTCCTATATAAAGGGAACCCTTGTCATTTTGTAAGGATCTGTTGCTTCAGCTGCTTCACAAGAAAGGTTGCCGGTCTCTTCTTCAACCAAGTTGTGCGTTTACACGACCTACCTGAATCTATTGTCTCTAATCGTGATGCTCTTTTTACTAGTAATTTTTGGAAAGAGCTTTTTCGATTGTGCGACACCAAACTAGCTTTTTCCTCAGCCTACCATCCGCAAAGTGATGGGCAAACAGAGGTTGTTAACCGCACAGTTGAGATGTACTTGCGTTGCTTTGTGGGAGGACAACCGAAGCAATGGGTGAATTGGATTTCCTGGGCAGAATTCTGTTATAACACTTCCTATCATACTGCATTGCGTGCTTCACCTTTTCAGGTTGTCTATGGGCGTGATCCACCTCCTCTGCTTTCCTATGTTCCGGGATCATCTCGAGTAGATGTTGTGGATCAAGCCTTGATTGATCGGGATCTAGTTCTGCAAGAAATTCGCAGCAGACTTCAACAGGCCCAACAACGCATGAAAGAGGTTTATGACAAGGGTCATCGCGATGTCGAGTTTACTCCGGGTTCATTGGTCTGGTTACGGTTGCATCCTTATCGACAAAGCTCTCTTGCTGGCCATAAACACCATAAGCTTGCTCCTAAGTTTTACGGTCCTTTTTCAGTGGTACGCAAAATTGGTCAAGTTGCTTACCAACTAGCTTTACCATCAGATTGCAAGCTTCATGATGTCTTTCATGTCTCCCTTCTCAAACCTTTCAAGGGAGAAGTTCCTACCGGTCAGCCTACATTACCCCCTCTGGAAGATGGCAAGGTTGTGTTTGTCCCGGACACCATTCTCCGATCTCAACTCAATCGTGGTAATTGGGAGATTCTTGTTCAATGGTGTGGATTTTCAGCTGATGATGCTACGTGGGAAGATCTGACTCAGTTTCGTGATGCTTTTCCATATTACAAGCTTGAGGACAAGCTCTTTCCCTGGGAGGGGAGTGATGTTACAGATGCCTTTATTGGAAAACAGTATAAAAGACGTGGAACCATTCAGCAGCAACATTAATTATGCTATTTTATTTTTATTAGCTTTTATTTCCAGTTATGGTATTATGTTAGGTTTTTAATTCTATTCCAATTAGGCTTCCTACTTGGACAAGTTTTCCTATTTTATCTGTAAGCTCTATTTAAGGAGCAGTAATGCTAGAAATAAAAACACGCAGAATTTTCTTTTAACTCCAGAGGTGCGAGACTCTCTCTCAACGAGTCTTAAGGTTGGAGCTCCCTTTGACGAGCCCCACAGATCTGTCACCATAGGTCGTTCAAAGGGAAGAAATAAAAACAAGAAAAAGACCTCGTTACTAGAAGAGGATTTTCCTGTTAATCGCCCAGTGACACGATCCTTAACCCGTGAATATAACAAATTGGTACCAGTGACACGATCCTTAACCCGTGAATATACCATTGATACAACCTAGGGAGAACCACACCCCAAAAGCTAGCTATTAAGGTGGGAGAGCCCAAGGCTATATAAACCCCACATCAACACTTTGTAGTACCGATGTGGGACTCAAGTCCCATTCCTTGCAATAGTTCACAACATGGCGTCAACAATCCAACACCTGAACGACCTCCGGGTCGGGACTCCAAACTCGTAAGCCCTCAACGAGGCAGCATGAAAATCACAAAACATCTCCAAGGCCGGAAATGCCCCGAACACTCGGGGACTGGCGTTGAAAACTCAAAGCCACATGAACTCCGAGCCGGAGACTCCAAAATCGTAAGCCCTCGAATGAGGCAACACCAAGTTTGCAAGTAATGGCTCTCGAGCCGAGAAATCCTCGATAAGCTCGGGGACTGCCGTCATATCGTCATCTCCATCGCAATGGCTCCCGAGCCGAAAGATCCTCGATGACTCGAGGACTGTCGCCAATCACTATTCATTAAAAAACTAGAGGCCATAAGACCTCGAGCGGGCAGACTCGGTCTCGTAAGACCTACATAAGGCAGCAACAGTAATTGTAAGACCTCAAGCAAGGCATGAACCACACTTGTACCAAGTGATAATATCTGTAAGACCTCAAGCAAGGCGTGAACCATACTTACCAAGTATCTAAAAACTATATGACCTCGAAGGCATGAAAATTTTATAAGACCTTACTAAAGGCATAAACCCGATCTCAAAGTTAAGGCTATATATCGAACTTGTAAGACCCCTAAAAGGCATACCCTCGATATAGACACCTATACTACTTCATTCGGGATCAAAAATGGCTCCGGCCAAACACAAATGACTACGGTCATAAGGCTGTACCAACCAAACTAACGCGACTCGGAGACGCCCGACCGTCGCTACAAAATCACAGGCCTTCAATTACTCCAAATCTACTTCGAAAAGAACCAGTTAAACAAGCTACCCTCGACATAGGCAAAAGAGCTTCGACCATGTCAGCTCCTAAACACTGGCTTTGAGATACCATCCCCCGAGCCAAACCTCCCGAGGTGCTCGATCATCGCCATATAATGACTCACAATCGAGGTTTTTTATTAAACTGTCGAAGAGTTAGGCAAACACTTTC